AAAACGTAAAAACCCAATAATTCTTTGTAGATGACCGGGTGGTGCCAGAGGGGCTGATGACGATGGTGATTTCGACTGACTGGGTTTGGGATCTGGGCAGTGACAGGTCGACGGCGGCGGCAACAATGGTGGTGGATTTTTGCGGCGGAGAAGCTATTGGCGATTACCAGGCGGCAACATGAGGGCGGATGAAGGTAGTTATTTCGATTTATGAGAGGTTCGAGATATTGGTGGTGATGGTCGACTGGCGACAGCATCGATGATAGTGGTGGATTGCATGCTGTTGAGACTTTGACGGAGGAACTTCACTGCGAAAGTTCAGAGAAAAGAATAAAAGAGAGAGGAATGGCAACTGTAAACCAACAAACGGCCCTCAAACGCTCCTCGCTGCTCGTCGTCCCTCTTCCGTTATGCTCTCGGCCGTCACCTTCGACTCGCCTCCATTCCCTTCCTCGTCCTCGTCAAGCTTGAAAAATCCCTAAAATCGTCTCCAAATCAGAAATCACTACCTAAACCATTTAGATTCTTTAATTTCTGGTGTGAGCATCCCAGGTTTAAAGAAATCTTACAAGAAGTTTGGAGTACCAGAGTGCCTAGTTATCCATTTTTCACAGTTTGCCATAAGTTGAGGATGTTGAAGAAGAAGCTCAAGGAGTTAAATAAGGATTTCTACTCTAATATTTCTCTAAGAGCTCAACAAGCAGAAGAAGTTCTCAAAGATATACAGAAAAAGGCTTTTAGTAATCCCTCCCCACAGTTATTTGAAGAAGAAACAAAAGCTGTAGCAGAATGTATAATGTATCAAAAAGCAGAAGAAGGGTTCTATAAACAGAAAGCCAGGGTGCAAGCAATAACAGAAGGAGATAGTAACACAGCTTACTTTCATCGGTTAATGAGGGTGAGGCAACACAGGAACCATATACCTTCCCTTAAAAATGATGATGGCACTATAGTTACTGATGTAGAGGAAATTGGCCAAACAGCAGTTGAATTTTATAAGAAGCTGCTGGGGGAGAAAAACCAGGAATTCAGTAGCAGTTCAGTTGAGGAAATGGAGCAGCTTCTGGTTAATAAGGTAACTTCAGTGGATGTTGAGCATGTGTGTTGTCCTGTGTCTAAAGAAGAGATTAAAAATGCATTGTTTGACATGGGGTCTAATAAGTCTCCAGGACCGGATGGTTATACAGTAGAATTTTATAAAGTAGCCTGGTTAGTAGTGGGGGAAGAGATAACTAGTGCTATCAGTTCTTTCTTTCTCACTGGTTTTCTTCCAAAGGAATTAAATTCAACTGTGCTTGCTCTTCTTTCAAATGTAGTAGGGGCAGATCAGATGAAACAATTTAGACCGATATCTTGTTGCCATGTGTTATACAAATGCATTGCTAAGATATTGGCAAACAGGCTCTCTACAGTGCTGCCCAAATTAATCAGCCAAAGTCAGTCAGCTTTTGTCAAAGGAAGAAGCATAAGTGATAATACCTTAATGGCATCTGATTTAGTAGCAGGGTACAATAGGAAACACATTTCCCCTAGGTGCACGATGAAAATAGACTTGATGAAGGCTTTTGACTCCATTGATTGGGAGTTCTTGTTTACTGTGATGACAGCTATGGGTCTTCCTTCCCAATTAATTTCCTGGATCAAAGTATGTGTCACTACTCCAATGCTAAGCATTGCTATAAATGGTGGAGTGTGTGGTTATTTCCCATCTAAAAAGGGTTTGCGTTAGGGAGATCCCCTATCTCCTTTTCTTTTTTCAATTTCTATGGAAGTCCTATCTTGCATACTGAATAAGGGGGCTGCATCGGGAGATTTCCCTTATCATTCAAGATGTAAGAAGCTGGGGATTACGCATCTTGTCTTTGCAGATGACCTATTGCTGTTTTCAAATGGTTCTGCAAAAGCTGTGGAAAGTGTAAAGGGACTGTTGGATAAATTCTATAGGATTTCAGGGCTTAGGTTCAACCCAGACAAAAGCCAACTGTTCTGTGCAGGAATAGAAGAAGCAGAGCATGATAGGTTGGCACAGTTGGCTGGCTTCAGAAAGCTTCATTTCTTGTCCGCTATCTGGGAGTTCCTCTTATAGTAGGGAAGCTTGCTACAAGTGACTGCAGAGTATTAATTGAGAAGATTACAGGATGGAAGCCAAAGATGCTCAGCTATGCAGGTAAACTCCAACTCATTACATCTGTTTTGAGTAGTTTATCATACTTTTGGATGAATGTGTTCATGCTGCCACAGTCTGTTATAAAGGAGATAGAACATATTTGTTGTAAGTTCCTCTGGGGGGTTGATGATGAATCCATGAGAAGGAAAGTAGTAATGGCCTGGGATTTTATAGCAATTCCAAAGAAAGAAGGGGGGCTAGGCATTCGCTGCCTAAAAACATGGAACATAGCCTGCACTACGAGACACATATGGGCTCTGCTTGCAAAAGAAGGGTCCTGGTGGGTTGCGTGGAACTACTTATATCGTATTAAACAGCTAAGTTTCTGGGAATTAAGAGCGAGTAGCACATCTTCTTGGATTTGGAAGAGATTACTAAAGGTAAGGGATAAGGTGGAAGGCTTCTTTCGATGTTGGGGTACACAGGTTTATTGGAAGGATAAAAGGGTGTTGAAGTACTCAGTAAAACATGTCTGGCAGGATTTACAGCCTGTTAGACCTTCAGTCCCTTGGTACCAGCTAGTATGGGGAAGACACTCAGTTCCAAGACATAGTTTCTTAAGCTGGGTGGTGACGCGAAATAGAATAACCACATTGGTTCAGCTGAAAAGCTGGGGGGGAAAGTGCAGGATGATACATGTTTGTTCTGTTCTGCTCACACAGAGGATAGAGACCACTTATTTTTTCAATGCAGTTACACGTTTGAGGTGCTGAAGGGTTGCTTGCAAATTCTTGATCAAAGATGTCCTCAGCTGGCTACTTATGATGACTACTTGATGTGGGCAGCACGAAAGTTCAAGGGGAAGAAAGCTCTAGCATTGGTGGGTCGTTTTGCCTGGAACTTAGTAGTTAGTTTGGTCTGGCGGGAAAGGTGTGGAAGGCTGTATGGGGGTAAGTAAATGCCATATGGGGAGGTGATTTGTACAGTCAGAAGATTGATAGAGCTGGCAAGGCAAGGAAATAAAGCCCTGGATTTGGATTGTAGAGCTGTTTTTATGCAGTAAATATATTTAGCAGTGTAGATGCAGTACAATAGTAGGAGTCTGTTTGAGATGTAGAAGTAGTGAGAGGTAGAGTAGATATTGGTAGATGCTGAGTGTATGATCAAGATGTGTAAACACACACATAGAGCTTAATAAAAAATTTTGATATTGCCCATAAAAAAAATAATAAATAAAAGAGTGGAAGCAGAAGAGACCCATTGCCTGCCTCTTTCTTTTTTTTTTAACTTTTTCTGGTTTTATTAATTTATTAGTTAAATCAGACCCACCCATTGATCACAAACCCAACCATTTATTTGAACCGGGCAGAAAATTCTGACGGCACCGGTACAGTGACGGCACTGCAGAATTGCCGATGAGATTCGTAGTATAAGATTTTGTCCCATATCATTTCTCAAATTATATTATTAACAGTTGATAACCATGACCAATCATTATTCTAATTCTTGCGTGAACACACAGACTGAAGTAAAATCATCAGGATTAATCATTTACAAAGCATATTAGTGAAAGCCCATCACCCTCTTATTAATAACGACTTGTTTTGTTCACTTTCCGTACTTAGCCTTGTAGTCCTTCCAAAGCTCATCCACGCTCTTCCCAAGCAACTCCTTGAAAAAAGTTACGTTATAACCATCTCTCAACTTCTTATTAAGCTCGGCCACGAACCCATCGTTCCTCAATCCGTCGCAATAATTCAAAAACATAGCCGTAACGTCGTAGCCTTGGTCCCACTTATCGCCCTCCCCCGGTTTGACCCAACGACCCGGCGGCGGGGCCAAACCGGCTCTCAACCTAACGAAATCCGCAATCCCTTCAATCAATCCACCCGGGGCAATGTCCCCTTGCCCGCCACCAAACCACTGCCACACGTGCGTCATCTCGTGATACACCACTCCAGCCACCTCACGCCTGACGTCATTGCCGCCGTCGGAGTAGTTCCCGACGTATTGGGCGCTGAGGCTGATCTCGTTGTCCGAGGTGTAAGCCACGCCGTCCATGTCCTTCACCAGCAACGTCACGTTGGAGAAGTCTCTCCGGCTGCCGTTGGTGGTCTCGCGGAAGACACTCGTCCATATGAAATTGGTGGCGTTGGACATGACGTGGCAGGTGTAGTTGGTGCCGACTTGGCGCGTGAAGATGGCACCGCCGGCTGTTTCCGGCGTGGTATTGATGGCGGTGAAGTTGATCACTTGTGCGACGGCGGCGGAGAGAGAAACAAGGAGAGAAAGGAGGAAAATGTTTTGAGACATGTTTATGGTTTAATTAATTTGATCGGTCCATGGGGTTTATTATAAAGGCAACAAGGCGGGAACTAAACGGTGGTTTATAGAAAATGACCAATAATTAAGCTTGTGTTGACAGCCTCATAATAACGCACAATTGTCAAACACTTGATTAATCAATGATCTAAACGGTCGGATATGAATATATGTATGTATAAATGATAGTACATATGAAACCATGTTTTGTTTGGGACGTTGCTGTTGGGGTTTTCTTATATTCTTGTACCGATTGATTTCCGGCCTTTGATGTACGTATCGCAACATCATTTAATAAGGCCACTATTTACCAACCATCTGATCAACATTGTATCACTCACCTAGACTGTCACCTTGTTTTTAACGTTGGGATACAATTTTTCTTCACATTTTTGGGTGTTGGGTACATAACAAATATGTTTTTATTCTTTCATAATAATAAGATTGAGCACCTCGTACAATAACTTGATTTTTAGGTGATTGGATGTTTTTGAATGATCATAATCTATAAAATGGATGAAATACAAATAAATGATGATATTTTACAATTGTTACTTAAGATACAAATATATTACTTAACGATTATGGAATGATAGATATTTTTTACGTAATACTTAAATAAATGTGTTACACGTTGTTTCTGCACTTGTCTAAGGACACAGTCTAATAAATCGTTATACCGAGTAGTTGGATCATAGTCTCTTATCATAAAAATGGATGCATGCGCAGCACCACCAACTATGAGAAATCCACCAATCCACATGTGATGCGTGAACAATGACAGTTGTGTACCATAGTCAGTAGCTATTAGGGATGGCAATTACCCACCCATGGGTAATTATACCCAAACCCAAGTAGACCCATTGATAATGGGTTGGGTATGGGTGAAGTGCATATGGGTTTGGGGGTTTGTAGATGGGTTTGGGTAATGTATGAATATTGCTTCATAATCTAAATGGGTATGGGTTGGATATGGATATCTATTTACTTGAGGGTGTTTTAACTACACATGCAAAAATTGGACCTATTTGTAAAACTTGAAAATTTTAGGTACTAAAATGTAAGTCAAAATAAATTTATGTACCAAAACGTAATTTTCCATCCATATTTTGAGGACTTATATGCAAAACAAATTAAATTTAGGTACTAAATATGCATATCTATTAAGTTTAGGTACCAAACTGTAATTTGTATTTGGGCATGGGTACAAACCCAAATCCATTTGTTATAAACTCAACCCAACCCAAAGTAAATGGGTATGGGTACAAACCCATCAAATTCTACCCATATCCATCTATTTGGATTTCATACCCAACCCAATTGGGTTGGATAGTAAAAAACCCATGGGTATAGGCAAAATTGTCATCCCTAGTAGCTATATATGGATAAGGGGGCATGGAATACATATGGTGAGCTACAACAATGGTTAAAGAACCTAACATAGCTAGGTTAAGAGATAATTGAGCATGCCATGACGTTGTTAGGATCTCATATAGGCCTTTATGGCCCTGGCCTGTAAATGGACCTTTATGAGACTCTAAAATATCTTTTATACCGTGACCAATGCCCCAGTTAGTCCTATACATGTGACCTGCAATAAGGAAAAGAATTGCAATAGCTAAATGATGGTGTGCAATATCGGTTAGCCATAGACCCCCAGTTACTGGATCTAATCCTCCACGAAAAGTAAGAAATTCCGAATATTTTGACCAATTCAAGGTGAAAAAGGGAGTTGCTCCCTCAGCAAAACTGGGATACAGTTGAGCCAAAAGATCCCGGTTCAAGATAAATTCATGAGGAAGTGGGATCTCTTTAGGATCTACTCCAGCATTTAGAAATTGGTTAATTGGTAAAGATACATGTACTTGATGCCCCGCCCAAGAAAGAGACCCAAGTCCTAGTAGTCCTGCTAAATGGTGATTCAACATAGATTCTACATCTTGGAACCAAGCCAATTTTGGAGCAGCTTTGTGATAATGGAACCAACCAGCAAAAAGCATTAAGGCTGCAAATACCAATGCACCAATTGCGGTACAATAAAGTTGTAATTCACTAGTTATTCCCGAAGCTCTCCAAATCTGGAAAAAACCCGAGGTTATTTGGATTCCTCGGAAACCTCCACCCACATCACCATTTAATATTTCTTGACCCACTATTGGCCAAACCACTTGGGCGCTAGGTCCAATGTGAGTAGGATCACTTAGCCATGCTTCATAATTGGAAAAACGAGCACCGTGAAAATACATGCCACTCAGCCAAAGAAAGATGATGGAGAGTTGGCCGAAATGAGCACTAAATACTTTTCGAGAAATCTCCTCCAAATCACTGGTATGGCTATCGAAATCGTGAGCATCAGCATGTAGGTTCCAGATCCAAGTAGTAGTATCAGGTCCTTTAGCTATTGTTCTTGAGAAATGACCAGGTCTGGCCCATTCCTCAAAAGAAGTTTTGACGGGATCCCTATCTACCAAAATTTTGACTTCTGGTTCCGGCGAACGAATAATCATGGAGTCCTCCTCTTTCCGGACAACACATACAAAGAGACCTGCCATATGAGAGAGGTTTCTAGTTCGTTTTATACTTTTCTATCTCCCATTTATCGAGTATCTAGTTTTTTTAGTTATTCACTAGAACAATTATGATCTGGATTGGAAGTCTATCCAAGGCAAGTGTTCGGATCTATTATGACATATTCGCGAGGTGCTCAACGGACATCCCGGGCTTTGAATTGAAGAAAAAACCATTTTTTGTGCAACCTACTAGACGCCTATCTTAATTAAAACTTCCTAGACGGAACTTTATGGTTTACATAGAACATATTACTATTACTCTTATACTGTTACTCTATTCTAAATCAGTTGAGAAACATTACTAAGCTAAATCCCAGTATCTATATTTAGGCATGGGCAGTCAAAGGGTCTCTTTTACAGGACCCGCCTACGGTCAACTAGAATGCGTATTATCCATATAGGGATATTCCCATTGAGAAGATCCATCGATCTGAGACAAAGAGAAGGGTCTATCTATTTTATTTAGTTATTCAGTTAAACCAATGCCAATGATTCGTTATTGGAGCAAATAGCAACAACCACCATTTCATCCGACGTACGTCTTTTTTATTTTCCGATGGATTTCCAGCTTTCATTAATGAATTTTTTTTATGTAGTGGGTAATAGCTCTGGTTGCTCGCTGTTCAAGAATTCTTGTTTAGGCAGTTCATACCATCCATACATAGTGTTTTGATCTAAGATTTCCATTCTACCAAGTTTCAGCAGTAACATATTGTTTCATGTCCAAAATATGGAAGAAACAGGTGTTTCCACGACTCTACCACCCAATCAATTCTGTTCCACTTAATCCCTATTTCATGGCCACATATCTTTTAGGCTAAGGAATGGGAAACCTTTCTCCTATTCCATGAATCCAATTTTCATTTCATCCGGGAAAAGCCATCTTTTTCTCAACAATGCCTTTGTCATTTGATCCAATAGCGTTCCGTTAGATAGGAACAGATTTGATAAATATTGATAACTCTCGGATAGAGTCTTCGAGCGGAAACATCGATTAGATAATGAACTATTGGTTCTAAGCCATCTCTGGCGATATATCAAGAACTCGAAGTGCTTTTCTTGCGTATTCTTGCTAAACTAGCGTTTATATATAGATGTAGGAGGGTCTGTTTGGGAAGTAAGAAGCCCCTTTGACATCTCTTCATCTGCAAAGAATTCTCGATGTGAAAACACAGAGACAAAGGGCTGATCTTTGAATAGGAAAAAAGAGTGGATCTGCAGGATCCCAAATGAATTGGCTTATTCGAAAAAAAGCCCTGTTCTTTGGAAGATCTATCTCGTATCTGGTACTGCATGGTTCCACTCTGCAAGAACTCCGAATCATTCTCTTGAAGCTCATCCTCTTCATCATAAATGATCCGCTTGTCCCGAAATGACCCGGCCCAATAGGGAAATCCTAATTCATTGGGCCTTTCGATACAATCAAATAGAAAGCCCCAAGGGCGCCATATTCTAGGAGCCCAAACTATGTGATTGAATAAATCCTCCTCTATCTGTTGCGGGTCGAGGGCTCCTTCTTCTTCCCCTTCTTCAAACTCCGATTCGTATTTTTCATAGAGAAATCTCTGATCAAGGATAGAACAAGATCCATTTTTCATCATATCTAAGGGACTCCTTGGTTCGGGCCGAAGAAGCAATGTCACTCGATCATTATCAAACTGACTGCAATCTTTTTTCTGTCCGTGAGGATCCCACCAGAGCGCCTTCTAGTTCTAATAGGCCATGAACTAGATCAGAATCATTCTCAACAAGCCCATAATAAGTGATCCCATTTTTTTCATCGGGTCTGGGTAGAGACCAAAGGTCTTGAGCAACCGGTCCGGCAGAACAACTCAAAAGATAAAGAAGTATCGTTAATTTCTTCATGCTCGTTCCAAGTTCGAAGTAGCATTTGTACAAATAAGAATCCCCTTCGTTACATGATTTCTTCTTCATATAGATCGATATAGGATCTATGGGGCAATTACTTAGAAATACATTTTGTGCAACAGCCCTTCCTATCTGATAGAAAAGGATCCCATGATCTTGAACCGATCTTACCTGGGATCGCAAATCCCAAGTTTGTCTATGAAGAGCAGATCGAATTATATTAGTGTCTAGCATTGATTTCTTCTGTGTAATACTAATCGATAGGGCCTCATTGGTAAGTGCTACAAGATCTCGTACATTGGAACCCATGATTATGGACCCGAATCCCTTAGTATGGAGCATTTTCTTTTCCAAGTGAAATCCCCTAGTATATGAAAGAGTGAAAAAGTACTTTCGTTGTTGTGGAATAAGAAGCCTTCGTATCTTAATGCATGTATTTAATTTATTCGGAGCTATTAGAGCGGGATCCACTTTTTGGGGAATATGAGTCGAAGCAATAACAAGAATATTTCTAGTGGAACATCTTTCACAATCCCTGGAGAGATAGTTCACTAATAGACCGAGGGATAAGTAATTCGACTCATTCACATCCAGATCATGAATGTTTGGAATCCATATTATGCAAGGAGACATTGCTTTTGCTAATTCGAATTGAAGGGTGATATAAAATCGGTCTATTTCCGGTATCATATCCATAGTTAGCGCATTCTTCCTAGTTAGAAGCTCCAGCTTCGTATCAAGGTCGATATCGTCACTAGCATCAATATCGTCACTATCATCAATATCGTCACTATTATCAATAAGAAAATCCTTAGGCTTGTTATCCAGGAACTTGTTCAGAAATACTGTAATGAAAGGAACATAGGAGTTTGTCGCTAGGTATTTGACCAAATAGGATCGTCCAGTTCCTATAGAACCTATCAATAAAATACCACTAGAGGGGGATAGGGCTAAGCGGAGCGAAAAGGGTTTTCCATGAGATGGGAAATTGAATACTATTCGCCCCACACGAGGTTAGTGAATAAGTGATTGTCTGATAATGAGCAAGGAATATCCGTCTTTCCGCTAAACAAGGGTGTATTGAACTCATAATTCATTAGATACTTTTTATGAATGTTCAACTAATGTATCGTAATGTAATTGCTCCCTGGCTCTTCAATCATTTGATAACCAGAGTCATTCTTTGATATATGATCACTATGAGTCAGACTCAATAGAATTTGATCAATCCTTTTTCTGTCGTTAAGGTGGAGAACTGAACCTAGAATTCTCTTTCTTTATCATTAATCGAATCATTGTTCGCGACCAAGGATTCTATTTTATCATCAATCTAATCACTGTTCACGTTTTTTCTTTTTCTTATCAATGAATAAATCTCTTTACTTGTATGACTTAGATGTCTTGTATTTCTCGAAAAAGTGATTCGATTGATGGGATTTGGTATGATACTTATGAGATCGATGAGATTGATATTCCAAAATTGCTTCTTAGAACGTATTGATTTGACCTCATAAGAGGGACCACCACCCCATAGCATGTTGCCGCCAGAAGCCCGTATTTCTTCTAGAAAATCTCCTAATTGTTCCAGAGCAACTAAAAAGAGATTCTTTAACCAGAAAGAATTCAATCCAGTTGTAGGATACCTATCCAGAAGTTTTCGTAACTCAATCATGTATGGTAGAATTATCAAGGATTTGACCTTTTTGAACTCTGTCTGTAACTGACTATAGGCTCGGGAAAAAAAGAGAAGATGTGTACGAACGAGATATCCAGCAACAAGAAGAAGGAAAAGGGTAGAATAGACGAACTCCCGAACATTTGGCGATCTCAGATGTGTCGATATCAATGGTGGCTCATTATTTCGATGAATCATTTCTTCGGACAGAAGAAGATTATGTAAACACTTACTCGAAATCTCACTTATCAGATTCCATTGTGGAAGACGCAATTTTTTCTGAAGAATTCGCCATGATATAACTGATCCATGCATAATATCATGAAAAATGGATACAAAATTTTGACTGCTACTTAGTATCTGTAATAGGTCTGAAAAGGTATCTAAGAATATGAAATTTAGATATTTGTACCCTGTCGAAGTAAGGAACCATGGCATATATGTTTGGAATAGGTTCCATTCTGAGAGAGTTGAAAAAAACACTATCACGTTCAAAGATTTTATACATCTGCCCTTTTTCAACGCATTTCGTTAGACAAAGATTCTGTTTTTTCCTCTTTTCGGATGGTAAATATTTCTCAAAACATGGAGTCTGAATCAAACCCATGTTTGAATTGAAATTGAGATACTGATGCAAGTTCTCCCCTTCTGAATCAGATAGATTCATATGCGAAAGAGGTTTACAATAAGTTCTTTCAAAATTAACTATTTGTCCCTCTGTTAGAAGTGTTCCAGAAATGTCTGCAATCGAATAAATAGCTCTACGAACGAACGGGTTGGATCGAATTGGAAAATGGAAAGATTTGTACAAGTTAGACCTTTCGTCACCACTTTGTGGAAAATCATTAGGTATGAATATGTTAAATACGTGTGACTCGATTGGTGAAATAGTATCTCTCTCCAAAAAGGCATGTTTTTTTACCGCCGCACAAAGAAAAGATATTGAGGAATTATCCATATGTAAAATCACAATTCTTGATACGGGCCGAATCATTCTCTTGAAGCTCATCCTCTTCATCATAAATGACCCGCTCGTCCCGAAATGACCCGGCTTTTCCACATAAAAAGGGAATCTTTTGTTACAATAGAAATAGAAGTGATGTAGATATTCAAGAATCGAAGTCGATTTGCTTTATAAAAAGAAGGTATCAATGAACTCGAGCTATCTATAGGTATAGCTACATAGACGTAGACGTGCGCGCTTTAGGGCAAGGCAACATATATATTTTTCAGCTCACAAAGCGCGAAGGGTAATTGATCAGATTCGCGGGCGTTCCTAGGAGGAAACACTTATGATATTCGAGCTCATGCCTTATCGAGCATGTTTTCCCATTTTGAAAGTACTTTATTCTACAGCAACAAATGGTAATCATAATAAGGATTTTAAGAAAGAAGATTTAGATATTACTAAAGCCGAAGTCAATGAGGGTAGTACTGTAAATAAAAACTAAAAGCTCTGGCTCGAGGACGGAGTTATGCGATAAAAAGGCCAAGTTATCATATACGTATTGAATTGACAGACAAATCTTTCTATGAAAAATATAACAGGGACGAGTTAGAAAGCTATTATAATCTTATTGTAATGAAGAAAAAACAAAAATAAAATTTATGCTTAATAAAGCGGGTGGTTAAAAAAAACATTTCATGATTCATATATATAGTGAGGGATTATGGGAAAAAAATAAATCCACTTGGATTTAGACTTGGTACAACTCAAGGTCATCATTCTCTTTGGTTTGCACAACAAAAAATTATTCTGAAGGTCTACAAGAAGATTAAAAAATAAGAAATTGTATCAAGAATTATGTACAAAAAAATATGAAATTTTTTTCTGGTATTGAAGGAATTTCACGTATAGAGATTCAAAAATGAATCGACGTGATTCAGGTCATAATATATATGAAATTTCGAAAATTATTAATAGAGGGTAAACCAAAAAAAACTCGAAGAATTACAAAGGAATATCCCAAAAGAACTGAATTGTGTGAACCAAAAGATATACATGATTATTACAAGTATCGGAAATCCTTACAGGCACATTAATATTCTTGCAGAATTTATAGCCGAACAATTAAAAAATAGAGTTTCATTTCTCAAAGCAAGGAAAAAAGCTATTGAATTAACAGAACAGACAGATACAAAAGGAATTCAAATACAAATTGGGGGGCATCTTGACGGAAAAGAGATTGCACGCGTTGAATGGATAAGAGAAGGTAGGGTCGGGAACGGATAAGGTCAGTAACCTTATGGTGAGTAACTATGAGTAACCCGCCCACATCAGCATCCTCGCTCTCTTGGAAAGCTTTTAATTTTCCCCTCCTTAATCTTTAAAGGACGATTTCTCACTCGTTTTAAGTCGAAATTTAATTTTTTTTTGCACAGTTAGATCAGATTAATTGTGCTCTTCAAAATGATATCCACTTTGATATATTTTTTTAACAAAAAAAATTGAGCCATTTTTTACCAGTCTATACCATATGGTATTGACTGGTATTGAAATAAGAGCATACCTATGGTTTGAAAAGTGTACCATGGTGGTATACCATAAGATACCACCCGTACCAGGGTGGTATTGTATGGTATTGTGTGGTATTTTTTGATCTTGTAATTTGTTCACTCATAAATTTGTAGATCCACTAGATCATGATGAACTCGTCCCTGCTTTGCAAACGTTTTCAAAAACGAATTAAAAACGAAGAAGATACCATATGGTATGTAGTTAGTACCGAGAGGCCGGAATTTTTTTTTCCTCAAAAAATATTGAAAATTGATCTCATTTTGTAGAGCATGATGAACTCGTTCCATCTGTGCAAAAAAATTAAAATTCGAGTTAAAACGAAAAAAAATATGAGTCAATTAAGAAAGCTAGTGAAAATAAAAATGACCTTTAATTCTCCATCCTTAGATCTGGATTTTCTAAATGAAGGGTCCAGATTTGGTTATTCCATGGTTATGCACCCTAACTTGAGCCGGTAGGGTCCCTTTACAAACCATTCGACCTAAAATTGATTATTGTTCCTATACCGTTAGAACTATTTATGGGGTATTATGAATAAAAATTAGGATATTTATCGACGGGGACTAGTAAACTCTTAGTTAATTTGTCTTTGCATTCTATACCTATATATTGATAGAAAAAAATGATAAAATGTTTCATTGAATCATAGCAAAAAGAAGCAATTTTATAAGGTTGAATAAAAAAAATTGATTTCTAAGTTGATCTAATTATAATTGCTATGCTTAGCGTGTGACTCTTTAGTTTTTTTATGAAAAAAAGAGTTGATCCTTATTATGTTATGATATTTATGATATGAACTTATAACTAGAAAACTAATAAGCAATTCATCACTTCACATTATCCGGATGGAAAGAAACAGCCAAGATATGATAGATTTAGATTTATGATATAAAAGTAGTAATGGAAAGTTTTTTTTGCATAAAAAAAACAAATTCAATTTTGAATTGTAAAGCAAAAATAAAAAATTATGCGGATAAATGGAAGGGTGAGAGGAAAAGAGAAAACGAATAGCAATGATATATGATTAGTTTTGTGCCCGCCCGATGGGCGGCGAGTATTATCTGTTTGTACTTTTCCTTCTATTATTTGTTATTTTTTCAATGATATCAGATTCCTAATTTTCATAATTATTTATTATTTTTACCTATTATCACTCACTTATCTGATATGAGGGCCGCTACATTTACTCTATGTTTTAATGATGATCAACAATAAAGTCAAACAACGCTGTAACTTCATCACCGCTTGGACCAACAATTGTCAACTTCATAAGTTGTACATGGTTTAAACTCGTGTACGCCACCTTACCGAACTCCTATAGAGTTGGTATTTAGACCATGTATTAACGAAGTTTGGCACATGATGCTATACCATATTCTCTAATAGGTGAACCATGGTCTCTAATTCTCTAATCCAAATCGTACGATTCATTTAATGAAAAATAATAACCACCGATTCTTATTTGTCAAAATATATTAACATACAAATAATAGGTATGAATGAAGGTGCATATTACACCTCGAGTGTACGCTAGCCTTTTCCACCATTATATCAAAGTACAACAAAACTATTCTGCTATGCTTCTCACCTTCAACATTGTACGAATGATATCAAAGCAAATGTTAGTTATTGAGACACTTTATCTTCACTTCACATTATCATCCAATATTAAATATGTAACTGACTGTAACTGGAATTGTGTGACTTAATACAAACATAAATGCTCTATGTTGTGCCGTCAGTATAGTAACTAAATTTACAGGGCATCGTCATGATATTATCTTGCGTTGATTTTATAGGACACCGGTCCGGGTACATCCCACCCTGGTATACATGACATCGATTAGGGTATGACCCGCAGTGGATTTCTAGGACACAAGTCTAGGTACGATCTGTGGTGGTATGCATGACATCTACTATACTACCCGAGGAATGTATGACTTGGCAAATTAAGATGTAAAATACAATGAACCTAACCATGCATGTGATTGAATCCTTGTATAAATATTACTTATGATGTGGTTAAGTGATGACTTTCTATGATGTGATATATGAAATGTGCATGTCGATTATGATGGTTTTCTATGGTGTTTTATACAATGATTTAAGATTGGATGATATGATGTTTTGCTATGCTGGGACAGGGGTTAAATGGTAATGCCAGTATGAAGTGATATTTGATGCATACATGTTTAAACATTGAGTTATCAAGAGGCTGGGTGATGGTCCTTATGTTGTGATGTATGAATTCTTTGAGTTTGAGATGATGAATGTGATATGCCATGTGGTGATGAATGGATGTTTATTTGACTGAATAAGATATAGCATATCGCATGTATCTTGACAGTTAAGTTAAGGCAGAAGGCCTGAGAGGTGGGTGATGGAAAACTGAATACTCCATGTTCTGTCATGGTCAATAGGAGGGACAATAAGTCATTTTGAACTATACTCTTAAAGGTAAAGGAGAAGATATATATCATTATCTTATGAGTAAGGCTGTCCGGCGAGTATAACAGGTTACTAAAGACAGTAATAGTAATATATGTATTAGGGTGTCATATTAAGTAAGTATTAAAATAGTTATTTACATATCTACCATCATATATCCAATAGTTTAAGATTCGTTTACAAATCTTGCTTAACTTAGGTGTTATTCATCTGAATATGACTCAAAGTTGCACATCTACACTCATGTATGAAAAAGAAAGGAATTTATGTCAAACAATAAAAAGAGAAAAGAAAGGAATTTATGTCAAACAATAAAAAGAGAAAAGAAAGGAATTATAATTACATTAGGAAAAAAGTAAAGACAATGTGTTTTATAATTGTGCATGGAAGAATATTTAATGACGTATGGAAAATGAAAAGAGAAAGAAGTTGGAATAACATAAAAGAAAAGATAATGATATCATTTTAATATGCGAGAAATGCCAAATTCAATCCTAAAAATGACAAATGCATTATGTATATGTACATGAATTTTCTTAACTTTTTTCACCAATTAGTCACAAACATATTTAAACCATATAACCATAATTCGGTTTTGAAAAATATACAAAAAAGCATTTGGTGACCATTGGTGTCTAGTGATATTCTTAAACACATGAAATTTTGTGTATATATCAATGTACCTATATACTGAACTATGTTGATATATTTCATATATTTATAGTAAGTATTTTCTAACAAACTGCAACATATCTACATTGGTTCACATCAGTTGCAGATTCATAAAATTTTCACAGGGTGTCCTCTTCAAAAATTAAATTTAATTAAATAATAAATTAAATAATTCATATATAAAAATATCATACGTGTATAAATGTTTTTATTAAAATTCATGATGTGTTTTCATATTTTGAAAAAATAATATAAAATAAACTCCGTGTCTGCATTGTTCAAAAAAAATCTACATATCCTACTAGACAATACTTCACGAACTTATCACATATTCAATTCCTAAACTTGTTCTTAATGTAGCTCAAAGTAGAAAAGACTCTCTTAACACTTGCCGTGTAACCATAAAATCAATTCAAAATTAAGGGTAGCGTGTACGTAGTTTAATTATTAGGTATTGAAAATAGTTGGGGATAAAGAAATAGTGTTTCACTGTTGCATGATGTTTAAAATAGAATAAAAAATGAGTAGCAACATAATTAGAATATGTTTGATAATAGTAGTGTCCAACGTTGGGATAACACGGACTACCACTTATATTTTTTTAATCATAAGCAAACTATTATCGAGGGTAGGATAATCATTTTTTCAAATGTTAGGGTGTCCCGAATCACCAATTATATTTTGTATACCCATAAGAAATTATTACCAAAGGTTGGATAATCGTTTTCCCAAATTTTAGGGGTGTCCCGGGACACCCCTAGAGGTCCATGTATCCGCCTCTAGTTCACATATTTATAGTAGTTCGTACAAATAAAATGTTAAATTCTTTGTGTTCTAGAATGCGGAAGAAGATTATTCTTTACTTTTCATTTTTCAATTTTAAAAGAAAATAACATGTCAAATGATGTAAAAGTTTATAATTGTGTACCAACTAAATTTATGCTTTTCGGATTTTTTTAATTATTTGTAAGAAATTATAAACAATTATGAGACATATTATAAACTAAAAATAATTTATTTTTAGATGTTAATGATTTTTTTATCAATGCTAAAAAATATTATATAAAATTTTAAACGTGATAGCTATTCTATTGGTTAAAAAATAGTTGTGATTAATTGCATGAAAGATTATTTATTCTATTGGTCAAAAATTTGAAATGATTACAGTTTGAGCTTGTAGGTTGCATGATTAAATCTTAGTTATGGTAATTGATCCTAGTGGTTGAATATTTGAAATGATGATAGTTTGACCTCATAGGTCACAGGTTCAAATCTTGGTCATGATGATTGATTTACATGTTTATTTAGTTTTATTTTAATGTAACTAATAACTTAAAATAATATAACTAATAACTTAAATGTTAAAAATGACAAAATGACATGGAAAATTGTGGAGATTTCGTTGTCCTACGTGGCAAAAATTTGCTCCACAACGGCCATAATATAAGTTAAGATTCCAATATGTAAGGTTTATGAGTCGTCTCATAAAAGTTAAAAGCCAATGTAATAAAGCATCAATATCGATTGATCTATAATTAAATTAATCCGTTTCTAGAATAAAAAAAAAACAAGAGCCTCGATCCAATAAAAAATTAGAAAATTGAGTCAAGAACAAATTCTATTAAATTTTTTCATTTTTTAGAGTCTCTATTGTAGATTAAGACCTAACCATTAATAGAGAAGTGATGGGAACGACGGAACCTGGGAATACATAAGATTCTAAATCTTAATGATTTTTTAGGCAGGATGGCGAAAGAACCAAGAGAAAATTCATTTATTTGGTGGCGTCAGGGATTAACTCTACAAATTAAGTCAATATTAAACGAGTGAATATTCGCCCGCGAAGATTTTTTTATTTTGATATTATTGAATTTTGAAATTTTAAGCAATCTGATATCATATTATTATTAATAATAATAATAATATTCGTTAGAATATTCCAACAAAAATGGCATTATCTAAAACTACCTTAAAACACTACAAAAAAGACTGTCATTAGTGACGAAAATTAGCGACGACAAATGAAACTCGTCGCTGATGATGACTTTTACTGACAAAATTATATTGTCGTCAGTAATATTTCGTCAACTGGTTGTGTATTTGTGACAAAGGCTAACCTCGTCGGTAAATACGAAAATTCTCGTCATTAAACTCATTATCTGGAGGGAAATTTTGGCGCCATCCCTTTTTATGACGAATAAAATTTTGTTGTCGGTAATGCTTGTTTTTTGGTCAGAATGTTGTCGGTAATGTTTCATCAAGTAGTTGTGTATTTGTGACCGAATTTATACCACATCGATAAAGACAACAAATTTGTCACCAAATCTATCTTTTGTAGGAAAAATTGGCGTTATCATTATTTATTTATGATGACTGAAATTATGTTGACAGTCATATTTAGTTCAATACTTGTTTGTTTGAGATTATCCTACTTACCTCGTTAAAATACAAGCTTCTTCATTGTCCTTTATTTGAAAAATGATAAGTTGTAGTTTTGAAAAGCTCAAGCTCAGTGAAAGTCAACAAATATAAGGAATGTAAATTGTAGGATAAATTTTGATAAAAAATAAACAGAATTAGGTTTGCAATAAAAGAGCTTCTCAATTATATTATAATAAAAACTATATTATAATAACATATTAACTATAAATAATAGCTAAAAGGGGAAGCAATGGAAATGTATACTTGTGTACGCTGGAAATATGTTGTAGAGACAATAATTTAAAAGAAAATGTGGGAAGGCAGGAACAAAAAAGGATTTTGTCCGTGGTTTCTTTTCATTTTCATAATCCTTGTCCCCGGTAATGGGTAAAAATATATAACACAGTTTCTTATTTTATTTTATTTTATTTTATTAATAGTGGTTAATAATCTAGTTCAATCTCAGCCATCACAGTTTGGAATTAGATCCTAACCGCTGGTTTAAGTTTTTCCTAACAAAAACCCTAGCTTCTCCACATCTTCCCCTCTGCCGTTCCCCTACATCTTTCTATTTTTCCCTTGCGGAAATCCTCTCTTCTTCTCTTCATTTTAATTTCTTTTTCTGTGACATTAGTCCAACTCACCTCCTTCAACCTTCTTCTTTTTCTCTTTTGCAGTCATGGAGACAGTGATAATGGATGAAGATCAAGCCCGTATAGATGCGATTGTCGGTCCTCTTCCTTCTCGATACATCATTGTTCTTCTTTTCTGATCACTCTTGTTTCAATTTTCTCAACGAAGATGCAATTGCGCTTTTGTTGCTTGCATACTCCCCCACGGTATGAGATGTGTTCTTTACGAAGCGGCGGTAGCAGATCTTGTCCGTTCCCTATTTTGAAGGGTTTCTCCAGACTATATGTATATATATTTGCAAGATTTATGTATTGTGGGTGACATGTTGTTAAGTGTTAGATCTATGGTTTTTTCGATTTCTAACTCATTTTTTCCCCTCTTGACTTGGGCTTGCAGTTTACAAGTGGTCACCGGCGACAAGAACTGATGCATTTGGTGGAGGTGACGAAAAGGCTAAAGCAGTGATTCATGATTTTCTTTAATCATTATTGACTACTATTTAGTCTTTTTTTTAACTTTCTCAATTTGTATACATCTTTTATAGCTCAATGTATATATTTTTAATTCAAAGTGTATGTTGTTAAGAATGTATGATCAGAGTATAGTAAGTGAAGCTCCCCAAAGAAAAGAAAAAGTGTGAGTTATGATTAACTTCATAATTGAGAATAAAATAAGTATTATTTTGTATGTTTTATTTGGTTTCATGAATTTCAAAATTAATCATAAAAAATTATCCATAACAATAAGCATTTGTCTAACGTTATCAGCGACGGGCCAATGTTGTCATGAATATAACAAAATTTTGTCACAAATGCAATATGGTCGTCAAATTTAGCAAATATAGAAAAACCTTCTCTGAAAACCCATTATTTTTAGGAACGACCTCGTACCGTCACAAATAGTATTTTCTGACGGCTTGTCACACAAAAACTATTTGTGACGCTCGTATTTGGAACGGAACGCGACGGCTGCATGGCGTCGCAAAAGCGCATTTGCGACGGAATCTGAGCTTTACTGACGAAATCCTCTGGTCATTGTTGACAGTCTTTTTTGTAGTGAAATAAAATAAAAATTCTCTAAAAAATAAATCTATAATATAAATTGAATAGATAGTTATATAGAAATAGAAAAAAATATACAATACAAGTTAATACTAAATACACAACGTTTTCATTTCTTTATAACAGAAATAATTCTGTATATTATATTATTTACCAATCTCATATCTATTTTTTAAGCATTTCATTCCCGAGGAACTTGATGAGAGGAAACTCTCATGTCCAGTTTTGGACTAGAGATGGAATTGAAAAACACCCATCAACTAGAACCCTAAAAGAACCAGATTCCGTAAACAACATAGAGGAAGAATGAAAGGAATGTCTTATCGAGGCAATCGTATTTGTTTCGGTAGATATGCTCTCCAAGCACTTGAACCCACTTGGATTACATCTAGACAAATAGAAGCAGGCCGACGTGCAATGACAAGAAACGCACGGCGCGGTGGAAAAATATGGGTACGTATATTTCCCGACAAACCCGTTACCCTAAGACCTACAGAAACACGTATGGGTTCAGGGAAGGGATCTCCCGAATATTGGGTAGCTGTCGTTAAACCGGGCAGAATACTTTATGAAATGGGCGGAGTAGGAGAAAATATAGCCCGAAAAGCTATTTCAATCGCAGCGTCCAAAATGCCGATACGAACTCAATTTATTTTTTCGGGATAGAAAAGGAAACCCAAAGGAAAGAAAGGCCTTTGGAATGAAAAAATCGTAAGTTTATTTTTTTGTTTTGAACAACCAATATTTCTTTTTTTTTCGTTTGCACTGAAATAACAGATTAAAAAATGATATGATTCAACCGCAAACCCGTTTGAATGTAGCAGATAATAGTGGAGCCCGAGAATTGATGTGCATACGAATCATAGGGACTAGTAATCGACGATATGCTCATATTGGTGACGTTATCGTTGCTGTTATCAAAGAAGCAATACCAAATTCACCTTTAGAAAAATCCAAAGGGAACTCGAATTTTTGGTGCGATCGCACGAGAGTTGAGACAGTTAAATTTTACTAAAATAGTTTCAGTAGCGCCTGAAGTATTTTAAGAACGAGTATTCTAAGCTGAAATAAAATAATTAAGATGAGACCATCATATAGTTATAGTCACCCGAATTACTTTCACGTTTGGTCACTCAAATTATACAAATCTTTCACGTTTTCCACCCGAATTACTTTTCTTTCTTATTCGCCACTAACTTTACGAAGCGTTTCACCGTTAGTCACTGACCGTTACACTCTGTTAACTTTGTCCTACGTGGCAGTCAACTACAAAGTTTGACCGTTAACTAGATGACATGGGAATTAAAAAAAAAATTTATTTTCCACCTCATCATTTCAGATTTATCATACTAATTATTTAATTAAAATTAATTAAAAAATAATATGATAAAAAATTATTTTCTATTTATTTATCATGACCCTCACCGCCATCATCACACTCCCGCTACTCCTCTTCCTTCTAAACCTCCTCTCCCCAGCCGCCAGCCATGATGACAACTCCACCATGTGCTGTTAGAAACCGAACAGAAAAAATTAGGGTTACCGATCTGGAGCTGAGTCGCGGACTAGGTCGCTCTCTTTAAGAAGTTCGCGGCACTGCCCTCGTTGCGCACGACAGACTATTAGTCGGTCGCCTCCAGGATAAAACAGCTCGCCTAGGTGCTCGGCGGTTTTGTGCGAAAACCGGAGCTATCTGAATACACTCTCTCTCGTGTTTCTGCTCTCTGATTATCTGTTTAGAGGGTATAGGGATTGCTCTATTTATAGGAGCAAAAACCCTAGAATATTCCCTATTTAGTGGGGAATAAGTCACACTTAATTAGGAAGATAATTACTCCCATTAAAATGCGTTCTATTAAGATAATTAACTCTAATTATCTTTCTAGTATTCCTTTTATTAATTATCCTTCTTATTTTTCGTATATGGAAATATACTGGATAATTAATTAGGAATTTCATTTATAGCTTTTCAAATCTATTCATCCCAACAATCCCCCACTTGAATAGTTTTGAAACTATCTCTGAGCATCAACAGTTTTATAAGATCGGGCATAAGCGAAGGTATCACAAAGATTTGAACCTTAGCGTAGTGGTTACACTTCCGATTTCATAAGGGTGACTCGTAGTCTTGAACCTTATCTCAGACAGTGTAGCACACAAGATCTTTTCATTGAGTGGTATTCTCTAATAACCCGTGCTTTTATGGCCCTGCACGTTATCCCGGTTTAGTGAATGCTCTAGCAACTTTGTGCCTCCAAAGTTCCATAGGGAGCGGCCTCACTCTCACATTCACATAGGTGAGTCTAACAGAAGTACCCCCAAAGAAAAGTACTTCACTCCACATAGTGTATAGATCTCATTAAGAGTTTAACTCAACCTCCAAGGCTTTGGGATTCATGTTTCACTATGCATGAACTTTTCTCAATATTACTCATGACTTGTTATTACCCATTGAACCCGTTTCTTGGGATCTCCAGTCTATTGGGTCGGGTTACCATCACTTGTAATCCATGGTTCGGTAGGCATAAGTCTCATACCCTTCGTGGTATTTTGGACTTTTCTCTCTAGGTAATCCTTTCATCAAAGGATCAGCTAGATTCTGTTGGGATCTTGCATGATCCACCCTCATTGCTCCTATCATTAGGAGTTCTCTTACAGTACTGTGCTTACGACGAATTTGTCATCTCTTTTCGTTCTAGAACCGGTTCTCTTCTTTAGTAATAGTTGCGATGCTATCACAATGAATCAACTACCGGAGGGATCGGTCTTTCCCATAAGGGAATCTCTAGTAATGACCCTCTCAATCAACTTTTCTCTTTACTAGCCATTGCTAGCTTTATCATTTCTGATTTCTTAGTTGATTGAGCCAGGATCGTTTACTTCTTAGAATTCAAAGACACAACATTTGCAGTGATGTTTAAAACATGTCCACTGGATGCCTTGGAATCTTCTATAAGGTATTCTCGTCCGCATCAATATACCCTACCAATACAGTACGAAACTGTTGATAACTTATATCAAGGTCTATTGTTCTCTTAAGGTGTCTCATGAACCTTTTACTAGGACAATCAATAAGTCTGCCAAGTACCCCCCCCCCCCACCACCACTTGTTCGGTTCCACCGATATATTACCCAAAGCTTTATAACCAAGAGGCAACTCTACAAGATTGTAAGTCTTACTAAACTCCACAAATTCCATTTCGTTAATAATGGATTCTCCCACGAATCTACATATTTATGGAAGTTCAAACTTCAAATAGACTTGTGGGATCTTTCTTAGGGTGTAATAACAAATTCATAACCAAAACCCTTTAGTGATTTATGGTTCATTTGTCTCTTGTGAATTCATACTCAAATTCATCACCCCTACTAGATCCATTATTTCTAATAGCAGAAAAGATATCACCCCCACTATTTCACGATTTAAATGGAATGGCATCAATGGATTTCACATAACAATGAGTATTTCATTACATAAGCTTATATGTTCTACTACTGATAGCACAACTAATAAAACACTCTCATGCTCATCTTATATTGCACTAATTCTCGAACTATACCCTATGAAAAAAATATTTCATAAATAACGTTTTACGTTAAAAGCATATGTCAAAAGCATCACATCGTTAATTAGTGCAATCAATAATAATGTGATAAAACATTTCACATTATTCCAAATTTTCATCTCATTACATTCTCCCATTTCAAAATGAATCAAATCCAAAGATTCTGATTCTCTAATCACATATTAAAGAGTCATTTTATTTTATATGCATACTCTCATTACCATGACCAATAGTGGAGTGAGCAATACTCAACAACGCTATCTTAATAGCATATGTCTTAGTATGCTTCGAGATACCAGTATTCAGCCACCATTCTTTAGATTTACCAGCATGGTTAATCTCTGCTCTTTTGTCAATCATTACAGTCACCAATCCTTCTCTTCAATCAAGTTAACACTAGAACCAGTGTTATAATCGTTCCTACACTTTCGTGTTATATGACCTAATTTCTCGCAACTATTGCAGAGAAGTAAAGCGTCATTCTTAGAGGATTGGCCGATGATCCTTTAGTTACCACGAATTGTACCATTTTAATTGGTGTGGATCTGATTCGCTTTGCTATGCTGATTCTCGAACCTTATTAGGGTTTAGAAACGTAAAATGGTTCTCATAGTACTGACAAGCAGTACTTCTAATAAATATGGGCATATAACCCATTCCACTAGCATATTTACTACATAATATACATTCATATATGCTTCAGAGTATGCATTCATATCATCAAAACTACTCTGTTTTATAGCATGTACATAAAATTGTACTCTAATCATCAAGAAGCCACATCTTAATATCAATATGATCATGCATCAATTACTATTTCTCTAGCATTCATAAAAATTTTCAATTTCATGCACCAAGTTATATGACATAGATTCTAATTTTATCATTTATAAATGATTCATAAAAAATGTTTCACTTCAGTTCTTACCTCCTTTGTGGAGTGCCAATGATGCTCTAGCCTTGGGCCTGCAAAATTCAACACACTTGCTTTTGCTCTTGAGACTTGGACAAGGGAAATTAACTTGACCGAGGCCTTCTTCCATTTACTTGGCCCGGGATGGCCTTCTTCCATTTACTGGACTTGTCCCAAATCAAGTAGCTAGCTTGCAATTAATTGATTTGGCTCAAATAAAGTAAAGCCAAGGGTCGCCTGGTTGCCTCCCTCCGCCGAATTCTCCTCTTTGAATCTCCCTCTTTCTTTTCCAATTGATTTTGGCTTGCTCTTTATTCCCTGTGTACTCTTGCTATGGCCGGCAGCAGAGCCTGAGAATCAGTCATGAGCGACGACGAAGGTCATTCCGTCGTGATGCCATCACCAAACACAAGCGGCAGCAAGGGCAAAGCTGATTTTCCTGAGTTTTATCAGTTGCATAGGTCCGATGGACCTGGCAATATGCTTGTTGGCGATGTGCTAACAGCCTCCAACTACGGGGAGTGGGTGCTCGATATGAAAGAGGCCCTTTTCCCAAAGAACAAGTATGGCTTCGTGGATGGGACCATTCCCAAGCCTTCTCGGGAACTAGAACGAGGATCATGGATCCGATGCGATGCCATGGTCAAAGGCTGGCTCAAGGTCTCGATGGACAAGGAGACCTGGAGCAGCATTCGTTTTGCTGAAACTGCAAGACAAATCTGGGCGGATTTACGTGTAAGATTCGGCCAGGGAAGCTCGGCTCGAGCATACGAACTGCGACGCTTAGTTTCCCTTCTTCAACAAGAAAAGGGTTATGTTTCCTCCTTTTATACTTGGCTGAAAGCCCTCTGGGAAGAAGCATCTGAAATATTCCCTCCTCCAAGCTGCACATGTGGGTTGTGTATATGTGGAGTGTCTCAACGTGTTCGCGACCAGCAGGAAAGCACCAGAGTCTTTGACTTTTTGATGGGGCTTGATGAGGTCTTCAGTGGAGTGCGTACACAGGTACTCGCGATGAATCCGATTCCCAATCTTGGGGAGGCCTTCAATATTATTAAAAACGCTGAGCAGCAATAGCTAATTGCCCAAAACCGAAAACCACAGCCCGAAGTGGCTGCCTTTTTGGCCCATTGAGACCGTGAGAAATCCCAGGGCGGAAAGGATCGTGCGCGGAACTCCGGGGATCGAGAGAAGATTCGTTGTACCCACTGCCAGAAGTTGGGGCATCTCCGTGAGTTTTGTTACGAGTTAGTGGGTATCCTCCTCGTGACCGCGATCGTGATCGCGATCGTGCTCATGATCGCGATCGTCCTAGAGAGAAGCAAGGCGATCGGGCACCACGTCGCCGACCTGCTGGGACTGACGGTGGATGTGAAGGACTCGGTCGAGAGCCAAAAGCCTCCCAAGTAGAGGCCGAACAAAGCCCAGTAGCTGGGTTCATGCTGACGCAACTGCAGCAGCTCAAACAGTTTTTCCAGCTTTCAAACTCTTCCATGGAGGACCTAGTAGCGCATATGGCAGGTACATTTTCTGGCAGTTCTAACTGGTTACTCGACTCTGGGTCTAA